CAGCAAAGCATGAACATCATATGTTATGTGAATACTCCACTCCTTTGTACAGATACACAAAGATCATTGGCAAATAATTAAACGTTAAACAGTTCTGGGCTAGAGTATAACCTTTATGGTGTTTCATATTGTAGTTCCTATGTAAAGCCTTGACAAGAAAAGAAGACTAACATCACCTAGGTCGGGTGTCGGCAACCCGCGGCTCCGGAGCCGCATGCGGCTCTTTTTCACCTTTCCTGCGGCTCCGGAGCACACTGCCCACCAGGTGACAGGCAATAGGGTCGGCAAGCCGCGGCTCTTTTAATGCAGCTCTTCTATGTGCCGGGCGCCCGCTCCCCTCCCTCCTCCAAACATTGGCTGTCAGGATGTAGGCGGGGCAGCGTGACGAACTCCTCTCCTCTCACAGTCCGCCCTGAAGACCAGAACGGCGCGGGAACACAGCTAGAGGAACGCGCGGAGCAAATGTAAGTGAATTGACACAGGGGGAATGAATTACTATAGGGGGGATGAATTACTATGGGGGATGAATTACTATATGGGGGATGTATTACTATATGGGGGATGTATTACTATATGGGGGATGTATTACTATATGGGGGATGAATTACTATATGGGGGATGAATTACTATATGGGGGGATGAATTACTATAGGGGGGATGAATTACTATAGGGGGATGAATTACTATGATGATTACTATGGGGGATGAATTACTATGGGGGATGAATTACTATATGGGGGATGAATTACTATATGGGGGATGAATTACTATATGGGGGATGAATTACTATATGGGGGATGAATTACTATGGGGGATGAATTACTATATGGGGGATGAATTACTATATGGGGGATGAATTACTATAGGGGATGAATTACTATAGGGGGGATGAATTACTATAGGGGGGATGAATTACTATAGGGGGGATGAATTACTATAGGGGGGATGAATTACTATAGGGGGGTGAATTACTATATGGGGGGATGAATTGCTATATGGGGGATGAATTACTATGGGGGGATGAATTACTATATGGGGGATGAATTACTATGGGGGATGAATTACTATATGGGGGGATGTATTTTCAGTTTTAAAAATGTTTCTCTCAAAATAAATTTCAATCGTGGTTTTGGCGAGATTTGGCTCAGTTGAAAAAAAAGGTTGCCCACCACTGACCTAAGGCTATGATTGTGATTATGACGATACACTGTGGCCCTGGTTAACCCTTTGCTTACTGGGCCCTTAAACCCCCTTCATGACCAGAGCGCTTTTCGCAATATATGCAGTGTCGGATTTGTTTTAAATGTTGCAATGGTTTTGCGGCTCCCAGTCTTTTTTTCCCTCTCGGAAACGGGTCCAAGTGGCTCTTTATGTCTTAAAGGTTGCAGACCCCTGACCTAGGTAATAAGTATATGGATGGAGCGTAAAGAATATGTTGTATTTGGGGATCTCTGAGGAGAAGAAAGGATTTCCCTCACCAAGACAAGGGATGAGTGGATTTTAGAAAAATTCTAGGGCACCCAGTATTCCATTCAAATTTTCAGTGTTATACCAAGATTATATTGGAGAAGAATAAGGTTACCACATCTTAGAGTTGTGATAAGGTTAAAGTACAAGTCAAATGTGGGGCCCATGTGTTGAGGAATTTTTGAGAGGATTCTGTTGACTGGAAGCTTCCATTTTATCAAAGAAAATTAACTTATATATCATTTTTGCAAGAGCCATGATACATATTTGTTTGAATGAGATTAATGAGGGTCTGCTCCGTTTTTTGAGGAGAGACTTATGGCAATTCAAACAAGGCTGAGAGAGGCCAAAGTCAGCCTGCAATTGCAGCCATGTAGGAAAGTGTTTGGCATCATAATGATTGAATTAGTGGCATGGCCACGGTAAATGATTTCAACCTAGTCTGGCTAAGTGACATTTATGGCAACTTGTAAGCTAATTGGTACATGTTGGTTGTTTGGTGGGCAGGTCGAAGATATAGTAAGCTTTCCGAAATATATCTTTAGTCATATTTCTTCCCAACCTTCATTGGGGTAGCTCAGCTTTAATAATTGGTCAGTTTCCTCCTCTGTATGGTTAGGACATGGGCCCATTTCAAGATAGATTTGGTAGTCATCTGGTGTTCCTTAAGAAGGTTGTTAGGTTCAGAGATTGATTTCCTAGTTCTGAAGGGGTCAAAATGGTCTCCTTTAAATGGAAAACTATCAGGCCTTAGATATATGATTTTGCTTTGGAGACATGCTTGAAATTGCATGTAGAGAAGAAAAATTGCTGGATGGAAGAGGTATTTGGCTCGAATAATGGGGAACAGGTTAGTTTATTATCTGGATCAAGCAGAGATTTCATTGATGTGGTAAATGATACTCGTGAGCCAAAATGAGATACTCCCCTTAACGTGATGAATAATAAACTGGGACCATATATAGCTACTGGTGCATCAGCACTTTACACACTGCTCATTATCTGTGTTAAACCTTAAACATAAAACAAGATATGTATCTATTTATACATATACGTGCCGCGCTCCAAATTAAACTAAATAACACATATACAAGTGATAGTTCAAATAATACCGTGAACAACAAGACTGTGCTTCAAAACAGGTGCAACATATAGTGCATATGTGAAAGAATATTTGATATTCTGCCGATTGTGTGAACAGTCCTCTTTATACTTCTATAGTATTTCAGTGACAGGTGAGATATATAGTGCCACACTTCCCGTGCTCTGTGGATAGGTGTGCGCTCACCTCCTTGTTAGCCAGACAAGCTGGCTAAACACACTTTTTTGTCCTCACTGGACAAGGTAGGGATCTTTACTTTATATGCGTGCCTCCATCCAATTCTGGGTTGCCTTATTTCTGCCACCAGGGGTCTCCCTCCTTCCACACTTAAATCTCAATGGATTTCTTATATTCCCCCTGATGAAGCCACGTGACCCTGTGGCGTAACGCGTAGGGGAGGGGCTCTGACGTCACGACGCCGCGGTGGACGAGCGGCGCTAGCAAACAGGATCTGAATACATGTCAGCTGGAAACTGCATTGACGGAAGCTATGTGAGTGGAATTTTCCTACTAATAAATAGGCTCTGGCCTCACAAAAGATAAGGCACCATTTGTGGTTTCTTGTTTTACATGGTGCAATTGAGAGGAGGAAAAATCATCTTTACCACCCCTATAAGAAATCCATTGAGATTTAAGTGTGGAAGGAGGGAGACCCCTGGTGGCAGAAATAAGGCAACCCAGAATTGGATGGAGGCACGCATATAAAGTAAAGATCCCTACCTTGTCCAGTGAGGACAAAAAAGTGTGTTTAGCCAGCTTGTCTGGCTAACAAGGAGGTGAGCGCACACCTATCCACAGAGCACGGGAAGTGTGGCACTATATATCTCACCTGTCACTGAAATACTATAGAAGTATAAAGAGGACTGTTCACACAATCGGCAGAATATCAAATATTCTTTCACATATGCACTATATGTTGCACCTGTTTTGAAGCACAGTCTTGTTGTTCACGGTATTATTTGAACTATCACTTGTATATGTGTTATTTAGTTTAATTTGGAGCGCGGCACGTATATGTATAAATAGATACATATCTTGTTTTATGTTAGAGATTTCATTGAATCAACATATTTATCTGTCCAAAGAATGTATAATTTTTCCATGTTACCAGGGGTGAAAGCAGAAGTGGTGTGAATTGGGACAAGGGGAGAGTAGAGATCATGTGTTTCTGTCCAGGTAATACGGTTGTCTCCAAGTAGAATATTTGGCCTAAAGGATATGTTCACCTTTTGACAAAAAATTATAAAAGCACATTTCTTTGCAGGTAAAAAATATGGGTATTTATTTATTTTTTTTGTAGAAGCCTGTAAAGTATTGCACCAGCGATGAGCAGATCGTTGGTGACATGCAGGTCTCCTGCAGACCTGTCAGTACATCTGCTTACCTGTACAGGATGTACAGGCAAGCAGATATACTGACAGGAAGAATCGGTAAACTACCACAGCGCTCCACAATGTAACGCCTAGCTATGTGTTTTGTGTATGCAGTAATGTGTTTTTACTAGGCAATCTGCTAGATTTTATTTCCTGGACATTACAGGCACAGAAAGGACAAAAGTATGTAAAATACAAATCAGCTTAATACATAGCTAAAAACACTGAACCCCGTGAAAAGGATTTTGAACAAAAACACCCTTTGTATATACTAGCTCAAGTTATTGAGCAGTCTGGCTTTCAATATAACATTTCTCCTTCAATTTAACAGATCGACAAGTTTAGAGGAGAACCACTTCTTCAGGAGATTCTTTGGGTGCTGAGTCACTTAAAAACCATGAAAACTCATGCATCTGTGGAAAGGCATATATTGCATACCCACCCTCAACGTAAGGCATAAGATCAAACTGGGTATCACGTTAAGGTAGTCCTAATAGAGCCTACACTAGGAGCTTAATCCACAACAAAAGGTTAACGTGCCTTGTGTCCAGAAAGTGATATAGGTAGGTAACAATCACTTCACATTGTAGTTGACCATAAGGAGTCTCCTAGGATCCTTAACTTATCCACTTATAGAGACTTCAATTCCAAAGATACATTGCAAGGGCCCTTTTAACCACTTGCCCTCCGGAGGATTTACCCCACTTCCTGATCAGGCCATTTCTTGCGATACAGCGCTGTGTTACTTTGACAATTGCACGGTCATGTAACGCTGAACCCAAATTAAATTTACGTTAGTTTTTTCCCACAAATAGAGCTTTCTTTCGGTGGTATTTGATTGCCTTTGTGGTTTTAATTTTTTGCGCTATAAAAAAAACCTGACAATTTTGAGAAAAAAAAAAAAAAACAGTATTATTGACTTTTTGCTATTAACCACCTTCCGCCCGCCCTAAAGTACAATGACGGGCGCAAGGTGGTTCTCTCGTTCTGATAGGACGTCATATGACGTCCTACCATTCTCACTGCGCATGCGTGGCTCAAGTCCCTCAGACACAGCGGATCATGGAAACAGCCGAAGATGTCAGCTCGCTCATGTGATCAGCTGTGTCCAATCACAGCTGATCACATGTAAACACGGAAATGCCGTTTATCGGCATTTCTCTCCTCTCGAGCTGTCACACTGACAGCTCGAGAGGAGAGGAGAGCCGGTAATCGGCTTTCCGCAGAGGGGACATGTACACTGATCATCAGGGCACTGATGATCAGTGTGCCCTGATGATCAGTGTAGCCCCAGAAGTGCCACCTGCCAGTGCTCATCAATGCCATGTGCCAGTGCCCATCAGTGCCACGTGCCAGTGCCCATCAGTAGTGCATACCAGTGCACATCAATGCCACAAGTCAGTGCCCATCTGAGCTGCCTTTCAATGTCACCCATCAGTGCCAGTCAGTGCCGCCTATCAGTGTCATGTATCAGTGATGCCTGTCAATGCCCATCAGTGCAACCTACCACTGCCTCCTCATCAGTGCCACCTATCAGTGTCCATCAGTGCAGCCTATCAGTGCCCATCACTGCAGCCTCATTAGCGCACATCAGTGAAGGAGAAAAATCACTTATTTACAAAATTGTATAACAAAAACTAAGAAAAAAACATTTTTTTTTCCAAATTTTCAGTGGTTTTTGGTTTAAGAAAAAATAAAAATCCCAGAGGTGATTAAATACCACCAAAAGAAAGCTCTATCTGTCTCAAAAAAATGATAAAAATGTCATATGGGTAAACATAATTGGTGTCAGTGGGAGGAATAGTGTCCCATCATTGGTATCAGTGGGAGGAATAGTGCCCCATCATTGGTATCAGTGGGAGGAATAGTGTCCCATCATTGGTGTCAGTGGGAGGAATAGTGCCTCATCATTGGTGTCAGTGGGAGGAATAGTGCCCCATCATTGGTGTCAGTGGGAGGAATAGCGCCCCATCATTGGTGTCAGTGGGAGGAATAGCGCCCCATCATTGGTCAGTGGGAGGAATAGCACCCCATCATTGGTGTCAGTGGGAGGAATAGCACCCCATCATTGGTGTCAGTGAGAGGAATCGTGCCCCATCATTGGTATCAGTGGGGGGAATAGTGCCCCGTCAGTAGTATCAGTGGGGGAATAGTGCCCCGTCATTTGTGTCAGTGGGGGAGGAATAGCGCCCCATTAGTATCATTGGGAGGAATAGTGCATCATTAGTATCAGTGGAGGAATAGTGCCCCATCATTGGTGTCAGTGGGAGGAATAGTGCCCCATCATTGGTGTCAGTGGGAGGAATAGTGCCCCATCATTGGTGTCAGTGAGAGGAATAGTGCCCCATCATTGGTGTAGTGCCCCCCAGTGGGAGGAATAGTGCCCCATCATTGGTGTCAGTGGGAGGAATAGTGCCCCATCATTGGTGTCAGTGGGAGGAATAGCTCCCCATCATTGGTCTCAGTGGGAGGAATAGTGCCCCATCATTGGTGTCAGTGGGAGGAATAGCACCCCATCATTGGTGTCAGTGAGAGGAATCGTGCCTCATCATTGGTATCAGTGGCAGGAATAGTGCCCTATCAGTAGTATCAGTGGGGGGAATAGTGCCCCGTCATTTGTGTCAGTGGAAGGAATAGTGCCCCATCATTGGTGTCAGTGGGGGGTGGAATAGTGCCCCATCATTGGTGTCAGTTGGGGGGGGGGGGGGGGGGGGAGGAATAGTGCCCCATCGTTGGTGTCAGTGGGAGGAATAGTGCTCCATCATTGGTATCAGGGACACCAATGATGGGGCACTATTCCTCCCACTGACACCAATTACACTTGCTGACCTCTGTTCTAGTATGGTGCTGCTGCAGCCAGCATATGTGGTTGCAGCAGCACCTCTACACTGCACACTTACCGGCCGCTCCTTCACTCGATTTTCGCGGGGCCGCTCGGCTCCGCCCCCTTGTCGGTGATTGGCCGCCTGTGTGCCTTTCCTGAGCTACAGTTCTCGCGGCCAATCACCGGTGAGGAGGCAGAGCCGAGCAGCCGCGCGAACATCCAGTGGCCAAACATCCAGTGGCCCCCTAAAAAGTGTCAGTATGCCGTATACCGGCGTATAAGACGACCCCCGACTTTTGGGAAGATTTTCAAGGGGTAAAAAGTCGTCTTATACGCCGGAAAATACTGTACTACTTTTGCAAAAATTCAAACGCTGTCCATTTTTTCTACCCACCTTTGTCAGCGTCCAGATGGCTGTCCAAAATGTTTCTCAATTACTTCTGCCTTACTTCAGGGAGAGGCTTTGGGTCATGACACAGGAAGGAGTTGACCAGCTGATCTCATCAGCACACACCCTGTATCACCTACCCTCCTACCTCCCACCCACTTCCAGATGCACGACTATTAAATGAAATGTAATTAGTGGTCACTGTTCTCACTAAATTAAAAAAAAAAAAAAATAAATAAAGAACAAAAAGGTGAACTTATCCTTTAATTGATATTCAAGATATAAATGAATATAGTAACTGAGTAACTGGAGAAAACCTAAGCTATATAAGGGGGTGCAGATTTCAAATTCTCCTGTGCATAGGTTATTCAAGTTATGTGGTGTGAGGAACGTTGGCCATGAACAAGACTGGCCAAGAGTCGCCAGCATCATTCCTATTTTTGTAAGATTACATCATATATAAAGTCTAAAAAAACTCCCTTTAAATTTTCATGGCAATAAAACATTTCATAACTTTGTCAGGTTTTTATTGCTGTCTACTGTCACTGGGACTGGAAATTCAGGAAATCCCATCTTTGAGATGTCAAAAGTGGTAAAAAGGAGGGCAATTTTTCCCAATGGCAATGCTTTTCATGGAGATTTTCCTCACTTTAGAGACTCTTACTTACTGCTGTGTCTACAGAAAGTGAGTGAAGTAAAAACGTAAAGAAAATTTCATACTTGCCTATTAGTTTTACACGACCTGAAGACAGTAATGCTGGATCATCTTTTTTCACATTATTTACAGAATCGTCTACTAATTCCTTGATATGGTCAATTCCCACTACTTGTCCCTTGGGTCCAACCTTGAAAACAGAAAATTATTTTTCAATTATTTTTTATTAAGACAGTGATCTTATTTGAAAGATATCTTTAAGTGAGCAAAATATGGCAGTGTAAATAACAATGTAGAGCACAAATGAAATAAACCATAAAAACAGATCCATTTACCGATATCAAAAATTCATTCTAATTGTTTGCTAATATTTATTACACACTATTCTCAGTTACATTAATACACATTCAGCTGATTACTATAAGACTAATCCAATTTAAATTCAAATTGTTTGGGTGCTAAACATCATCAGATTGGTGTAGTACAAACTACATTCCCTGAGCAAGGGCAAACTGATAAGGCCGGGAATGTGATATCACCAAACATTTACAAGTGATTTAACCACTTAAACGCCACCCTATAGCAGTTATACTGCTACAGGATGGGCTGTATACATACACACACACACACATATATATATACACATACACACACACCCCACACACATACACACACACACACACACACACGTGATCCACGCTACTGCTGTGCTCACAGGCAGGGGGGTGCGCAGCTGCTGGCCCAGCAGTGCTGTGATTCGGTACAGCACTGATCACTCAGCAGATTCAGGCCAATTCAGGGCCTGGATCTGCTGATCGGCTGTACCAAATCAGATCTCAGCCTGTGCTTACATTACACAGGCACAGGAAATGATGCAATCTTCTCTCCCTGGAGCACATTCCATGACTGAACTGTCACCAGTGTCATTAGCACAGTATACTTTTTTTTTTGTTATACTGATCACTGTATTAGTGTCACAGGCGACTTAAGATATCATTAGCATCACTCCCACATAGCGTCAGATTTCCCGCCACTATATCAGTCATTACATTTAACCCATTGATTAACAGGAACACACTCACATACATAATAAACCTCCATTGCTAGTATAGGGTCTGAACGGATCAATATCTTTGATCAGATCAGCACTATACCAGCGTTCACAATATTACAGTGTCCCCAAAAAATGCAGCTTTAGCAAGATCAGCCCCAGCACCTGCGTTTAGTCCTTATGCTTAACAACCCCCCACCCTTCTGCCCCAGCAAGTGCAGTGTCAGTAGGTCACTGTCACAAAACTCCAGGGATATCAAGATCTGGCCTTATCTCTGCTAGCACTAGCAGGTAAATTTTGTTGTAGCAGTTCAAGCAGTCCCTGACAGCCAGGTGCTCTTTTTCCCTGGGAGTCGTACTAGGTACCTATAAATTTAGTAGCAAAAATGTCCAACGAAAGGTACTCTAGTGAAGAGGCCTACAGGATTCTGAGCATGTCAGATGAGAGAGAAGGAAAAGCCTCACTGACAGAATACGCCTCAGAATACAAACCTGTAGAGAGCAGCGGCAACCTGACAGATAGCTCAAACGATGGAGTAGAGGTCCCTACTAAGGTCAGGCATACCCGACTCTATTCTCAGGTTGCTGAGTGTTACAATTCCGTGATGATTCTCATATGCAGCAGAGTGTCAGTACTAGTGCCACTCTACCTTTTGACGAGCACAAGCGACCTAGTTTTTTTTTAACCTTTCGGTCTTTGTTTATAGCGCAAACACCCCCCCAAAACACAGAGGTGATCAAATACCACCAAAAGAAAGCTCTATTTGTGGGGAAAAAAAATGACAAATTTAATTTATGTACAGTATTGCATGACCAAGCAATTGTCAGTTAAATCAGCGCAGCGCCGTGCCGATTAGCAAAGAATGGCATAAATTCCATTATCTATACCATAGTTTATAGACACTAACTTTCACATAAACCAATTAATTTACACTTACTGGGATTTTATTTTTTACCAAAGACATGTAGCAGAATACATTTTAACCCAAAACGTATGACTGAGTGTACTATATATTTTTATAACCAAAAATAAAAAAAGAATTATTTTTTTTTTTCAACATTTGCAGTCTTTTTTTTGTTTATAGAGCAAAAAAATAACCCATTGGTGATCAAATACCACCAAAGAAAGCTCCATTTTGTGTGAAAAAAGGACAAAATTTAATTTCATGACCGCACGACCATTAGTTGAAATAGCGGAGAGCCAAATAGCAAAAAATGGCCTGGTCAGGAAGTGGAGTAAATCTTCTGGAGGGCAAGTGGTTAAAAACACATGCAACAGGAAAATTCACCTGCAGAGTTTTCAAAATTAAGTTCTCAATAAAAGCCTGAAACTAAAATTGCACATGTACAGTTGGCAGCATAAGTTAGAAGACTGCATATCAGAAAACCCCTTTAAACCATCAGAGCACACTTTAAATACCATGACTTCCAGAGAAATGCAATCTCCCTCCAATGAACCAATTAGAGCCCCATGATCCTGCGTGAACACTGGTATGTTCAGGTGGGTGGATGAGAGCCAAGAGAATGTGAACCTTTAGAAAGCTTATATTTGCAAAAGATCTTTGGACCTCAAGAGGAATTTCTTTT